CTGTGTGAAGACATTTCTCCTCCCCTCCCCTCTGTTTCTTTTAACAACTATTTTAAATCTGTGCCCTCGGGTTACCGACCCACCCGCCAGTGGGAATAGTTTCTCCTGTTCACCCTATCCAATCCCTTCATAATTTTGAAAACTTCTATTAAGTCTCCTCTTAACCTTCTCTGCTCCAAGGAGAATAATCCGAGCTTCTCTACCTCTCCTGATCACTGAAGTCCCTCATTCCTGGGACCATTCTGGTCAATCTCCTTCACACCCTCTCCAATGCCTTGACATCCTTCCTAAAGTGTGGGGCTCAGAACTGAACACAGTCTCTCACTGAGGCCTAACCAGTGTTTTATATAAAGGTTCATCATAACTTCCTGACTTGTGTATTCTATGCCCCTATTTATAAAGCCTCGTATCCCGGACGCTTTTTTAACAGCTTTATCTTCCTGTCCGGCCTCCTTCAAAGATTTACTTGTATGAACCCTCAGGTCTCTCTGTCCCTTCACCCCCTTTAAGATTGTACCATCAGCTTATATTGCCTCTCCTCATTCTTCCTCCCAAAATCATCACTTCACATTTCTCCACATTAAACTCCATCTGCCACGTGTCTGCCCATTTGACCAGTCTGTCTATGTCCCCTTGCTGTCTGCTCCTATCCTCCTCACTGGTTACTCCTTTTCCTTGCGTCGTATCGTCTGCAACTTGGAAATTGTCCTCCCTATACCCAAGTCCAGGTCATTTATATAGATCACAAACAGCAATGGCCCCAATACCAACCCCTGGGGGACACCACTGCACACTTCCCTCCAGTCAGAACAACAACCGTTCACCACCACTCTCTGCTTTCTGTCTCCCACACAGTCCTGTATCTGCTGCCACTGTCCCTTTAATACCGGGGGCTTCTATTTTGCTTACAAGTCTCTTATGTGGCACTTTGTCAAATGCAAAGATTATTATTATTAAAGTGGCTAATGGCCCCAGCATAGGCTTGATGAGATGAATGGCCTGGCTCTATGTGATAGTTTTGTTGATCTTAGGAACTTTGTTACAAAGGGAAATCAGAACGATTTCCAGTCGTGCAGACTGCCTGCCCACTGCTCCGCTGGCTTCTGAAAGCTGAACAAAGTTTCTGCGTTGCCCGGTAACTATCGGGAGCTCAAAGTTTCCTCCTGTTAAATATAGTGATCTCAGCTCAGCTCATTTCTGTTCAGGCTGAAAATAAAATGCATGGCCTTTCATGTGATCTGAAAAAGAAATTGAATCTGGCCAGCCTGAGGCAACACAACTCCTGCATTATAAATCGCTCCACAGCAATACCCTGGTTCTGTCTGTCTGGAATTTGCTTTTAAATGGATGCATTTGCCAATCGCAGTTCTGTATCAGTGAGATTTGTACTCCCCGGCCTAATACTGCTCGCTAAATGGGTGCAGATAATAAACTGCCTCTGGCACGGACTCTGGCTCATAATACTAATTGACAGCAATGGTGCAATAAAACGAGAGAGAGGAACAATATGTTCTGCAGTAAAGTCCATCACTGTTCATATCGAGCGCATCTCGGCATTAAAAAGGAACAACCCAATTGAAAACCGTGAGTAAAATGAAAAGTATCAGATATTTCAGGGTGTATTTAATTCCTCTCCACATTACGAAGGTCAAAGGAAAATGTGACCTTTTACAGCGGAGGAGGAGAGTTTATAAACCCCATTGTTGCTGCGCAAAATCCTGGTGCCAATGGTAGTCAATGAAGCAGCTCCATTGGGAGCTTCTGGCACAAGGTCCACAATCACATCACTGTCACCTGGATAATTTAACCCGGATTATTTTATATTCGGGGCAGAAACAAATTGAAGCTTTGCATACTCCAGTTGTTGAATTTTAATGTTTTGATCTCGGAGATGGGAAAAGGACAAAGGCCACATGGCTTGGCTTCAGCCTCTCCAGCCAAGCTCCTGTGACACACTGTCTACTAACCCTGGTGATACACTCACTAACCCTGGTGATACACTCACTAACCCTGGTGAGACACTCACTAACCCTGGTGAGACACTCACTAACCCTGGTGAGACACTCACTAACCCTGGTGAGACACTCACTAACCCTGGTGAGACACTCACTAACCCTGGTGAGACACTCACTAACCCTGGTGAGACACTCACTAACCCTCGTGATAAACCTCCTTTTACATCACAATGGCTGTTTTTCATCGGGATGTATTTTGTATTTCAAACCTCATAATTCACTGTGACTTATTTATAGTAGATTATTCATAAAATGAAACTAATATGGACCACAGCAGGAATAGCCTCTCACCAGCACACCCAGGAGTCGGTATCGGCAGAGGCTCTGGTTTCCTGGAAAAGATAACGACCGAATGAAGACAGTTAAGGCAATAAATTCGCAGATGCAATAAAATGGTTGAATCCATTTTGTTTTTAGAAAGGAATTCTGCACAGGTCAATGAAGGGGAAAGATATGGATTAGGTGGCTGAAGGATATTAATTCCAGAGGAGGTTTTGAGGGAGATGGAGGCATTGCTGCAGGCTGACAGCCCCCTCCACTCCACTCTCTGGGATGGGATCCAGGATGGCAGCTGTGCTCAAGGCCGTTAGCTGCTGAAACACATTCTGTTCGTCGATTTGATTTTTATTACAGCGTAACTGTTCATTAAAGATATTTCTGTGCAATTAATTAAATTATTCCCATGTCTGTGCCAGAAAGTCATTACCCCAATAGCGGCTTTCACTTGTGCATTTTCAAATGCCAAACCCATCCCTGGGGTCAGCCAGGCCAGGCAAAATGGGCTCTTCTGGATAGCAAATTAACTGCTATATTGTCCACCTATCCTTGCTCCCTTTATCATTCATTTCCCACCAGTTAGTACGCTGGAACATTTTCCCAGGAAAGAGGGACAGCAAAATTGAAACAAACACTTCAGACTGGGTCAGGCGGGATTGTACCTTGTGTGAGATATGCTGAACAAACCTTTCTAGTTACACAAAGCAGATTGTGCTGTGTACAGTGACCATTGCGGTACTCTCCTTGCAGCCTGACCTCAGTGTTGTCCAGCTTTCTGAATCAACCCACGTTAGCCGCGGGATAGAGCAATGATTGCTTATTAAAACCTGTTGTAAATTACACACAATAAAATAAACCGAGACCGAGTGGGAAAATCGCTCCTTAAATAACAGTAATATTAGAAACTGAGCACTTGCTGTGTGGGAATTAATGACAGATGTCACCCTGGCCATTTCCATGCTACACGCTACATAAGGTGGACAATATAGAAGTTAATTTGCTGACATGGTTTAAGATCTCGGTTCCTGTCAATGGCTCCAGTTTTGGAAAGAATATTGTTTCCTGATGTAAAATCAACCAGTGTTACCAGATAAAGGCACGAGCAGAGGGTAGGGCTGAGAACCTGGATGGGTTTATCATGATATTGCAACACTAATTACAGTAAATTGGTTCGGAGTAAGACTTTTCTCAGAATGTTTTAAGTCTCTACATCTGTTGGTGTAAAACAACATTAACATGATCTGGATTTCAGAAAAACTGTTTTTGAATGAGGCAGAATTACAGGGAGACGTAAACCGTATTGTTTATGGGGGTTGCACTTTTACAGGAGATTAAATTAACGGACACTGGTCATGTGATATTCCCAGTGGTGTCAAAAAAACTTGATTTATATTATATAAAAGTGATGGATTACATGTAACATTGCTGGAGAATAATGTTTGAACTTTCCAAGCTTTGAAAGATTGTTAGTCATCTCTCATAAATTTATAGCACCGTATCATGTCTTCGAGACATCTCAAAGCGCTTCACAGAATCTAATGTAAAGTGAAGTGACTGTATTTTGTGTGTTTTGTGGGCGAAACACTCTCACTTGTCTCATTCCCGTGACTTCTATTCATCCCTGTAACATGGTTAGCAGCTGCTATGAGAATAACTGGACTCAGTACATTGAGCAGAAGGTGCTGGGCCCCGTCACACTCTGTGATCTGTGTCCACAGGGAGGTGCCCACCTCCTGCACACACACCGTCTACGCTTGTCATGTGGCAGCTCTCTCCCACCAGCCTGGCCGGGAGATGGCAGCTTCCTCCTGCTCACATACTGACGACAAAACGACTGGCTGATCTGACCCAGTTGTCGTCCTCCTAGGAAAAGGATCCATTCAAAGTGCTAATAGCTACAAAAAAGGCTGTTTTCATTTTAATTATGTGTATTACTCCAGGGTGTTTTTTGCTGTTTGCTGTAATTGATGGATGGCGCCACTAAATGGCAATTCCTCCCCCTTTGTCCTGCCTTTTATTGTCTTATAAAGTGCAGCTTGTGCAAATGTGCCGCCACATGACACATCTTATGGTGGATGGGCTTTCCCCAGTGTCTTACTTCTTCTAAAGGTGGCTTTGAGATCTTTCTCCACACTGTTGTCTCTCTAAACAGAAATGGTGCTGAGTAGTGAGAGCTGGAGCTGTGAGAGTTTGCCGGCAGGGCTGGAGCAGTGCTGGCCATGTACAGGTTGTGAAGCTTTAACTGTGGATTGTATCACATTCCCGATGGCTCGTGGTGTCAGTTGGATATTGTGTCTGGTCTCCCCAGGCTTTGCTGAACTCTGGCAACACCCACTTTGCCTCCATCTTCACGTGTTTATATAAACACTATCACGCACTCACCTTGCAAGCGACAGGCCCTGGTTCGATCCCTGGGCGGGTCAGGGGGAACCCTTAGGCAAGTTTCCTTACTCCCCACATCTCTGTTTACCCAGCAGGATGTAGGACCCAATTGTTAGTCGATCGCTTTCTGGGGGAACGGTTTCTGCCAGTGTGGTTAGCAAGTGGTCTGGTTTTCTGGGAGATTTCATGACACCAGGTTGCACTGTTCGCTGTGTGGGCAGCACTGTAAACAGATTCACGCCCCCCCCATTGCTCTGATTGTGTGAACAGCCATGTTCGGATACAAAGAGCAACCATTCAATATACTGTGTATGTTCTTGTTTTCAGCTGAAGCCTTCTCCTGGCAGCCGCGACAGTGACAGCGAGAGCATCAGCGGAGACTGGAAACCATCCATCCAGAGCAGCTCGCATGAACGGCTGAGTGATGTGAGTGAGGGGACATCTGTCTAATGAGCTTCATTATTCCTCTTCCCCTTAAACATACGCTTATCAGCATCACGTGTTCGCAAGCCCGACTGTGCACTTGGTTCCGTCACCGTGTGCGCATTCGCATGTGCAACTGCGGGCCAGTACACGCGTGTTATATGCGCAGGATCTTTAAATGGTTTCTGTTTGATTTGCTAATTATTCAGGAGTGCAATCAAATCCATGTCCTAATTAAAGTTGTCAGTTGGTAGACAAGCTAAGACCTGGAAAACATGGGCTAACAAATGAAGTGAGCTAATTCTGTGTGTAGCTATAGGATGCTTCATCAGGCGTGAAATTAAATAAGTCATTTGATGTTAACATTGGAAATTGAATTGATGCCTGCTGCTCGCTGTCTGATCAGCCACACTTTAATATCTCCTATGAGCAAATGTGAGCTCAGCCCCTCCCCAACTGTGCACATACAATAAATAGTATGTGTGCACTGTTGTGCATGAACACAGCCATGCCTACAGCACACTGCAATGGAACAGCAGTCAGCCCTAGAAGTCTGTTCCACCTTTCTGTTAGATCACAGCTGATTTGTACCTCAACTCCATTTACCCGCCTTTTCTCCATATCCCTCGATCCCCTGACCTAACAAATATCTGCCCACCTCAGTCTTGAAAATTCCAACTATCGCAGCATCCACAACCTTTTGGTGGAGAGAGTGCCAGAATTCCACAAACCTTTGTGAGAAAAACCTCAGAGGTTGTGCTGGCAGCAGCTGTGGGCAGGCCTGGTTAGTGATGGTCAGTGATGAGTTTCGGGTGATCCTGTCTCCCTCTTGAGTAGATGACTCTTTTCAGGGGTCCGGGTAGGGGTTAGGAAATGGAAGGAATAACAGGACAGGAGCAGATTGCAAATGTACTGTGGGAGCGAGATTGGGACAGGATCTGTGGGCCTGGATGAGCAACTTGAAGTCGATCCGCTGGTGAATGGAACTTCCTAAGGATGGGGATTGTGGGAATACGAAGCCAGGTGTGGGACAGACAGCATATGTAACGAGGATCTTGCAAATCCTGATACAAATGGGTGGGACGTGCCAGGACGCTGGGAGATGAGCGATAACATCTACAGTGTAAACTGATCATTAGCCTCTCACAATATGTGCATCAGTGGATAAAAAATGTGCATTTCTTCTAAATTCAGGCCATGTAATACCTCTGTGACCTTGGGACACTGACTGGACCTTAGCACCTTTGTCTGTTTCAGCAGCTGAAAGGGAATAGGTGGAATAAGACATTTCATCCATCCCAATGGAGCAGACTATTACCAAACTAAACTTGTTATTGTTGGACGAATAAACAGCGCTGACTTCTGACCAAGTTTTGTAACTAGAAACGGATCCTAGGCTGTGCTCTTTGTCAAACACTATTAATTTCACCATTAATCCCATCGCCCTCAATAAAGATCACAGTTGTTCTGTCTCCTGCAGACACTTTGCAACCGGTGGAGCTCACACAAGGAATTCTCAGTTCTCGCACCTTCTAACTTTAGTTTGGTCTAAAACATGTGCCTCTAATGCATATTTAAGTGTTTTTTTTCCAACAATTCTTGAAGGTTATTAGAAAAACATCGAATTTTTGTTGGCCAAGAGTAGGAATGCTCTGTGGGAATACATTGACCTGCTGAGTCGTGCTGTAAAGAGTCATTAAACCGCTTTGGTCTGCTTTGAAGGTGGGTTTCCTTTACATGGCTACAGGAACAAAGCTTGCCCGCGACAGACACCGTGCCACTGAATGTCAAGAAGCCAGGAAGGTCAGCTGACAGCAGTCTGTTGAGTCTCGGCAGAAGGCAAAGTGCTATCATTACACAGCTGCCTGTCACATAAATTGCCAATTACAGCTGCTGCCGAGATGTGGAAATCTGTAAATAAAGTGTTACCTCTCAGTCCTGATGACAGATGTGAGAAAGGAATGAGAAGCTACAAGCCCGTTTGGAAGTAACAGACAAAGTTCAGCCCCCACCCTCACCCCGCGTTGAGAAACATGATGAAAAGCACAGGGAGGTTGCTAATGAATACGTGAGGGTATAATCACTAATTTCCCTTCTCCTGTGTTTTCTTGCAGAGTTCTGCTCATTCCAGCTTGGGCACTGGTTACTTTGTGAGTACACACATGCTAACTTGCTATCGGAATATATGTTGTTTTTTAAGTCATTGTGAATGTGAGTTGCTTGGAAATTACACGGACACAAGTTGAAGAGTTACACTGCTCCTGGACACAACTACAGTAACTAACTAGAGGGATGCATGGCTTTAGTTTCCTAAAAGCAAGTATATTTTGTCAGCAAATTCAAAAGGGAATCAATTAATCCCTCCAAAACCAAAAACAATAATAAATTGGTCATTTTCAATCTACGACTCTTTGTGGGACATTGCTGTGTGCAATTAGCTGCCGCGTTCGCCCATAAATATACAGTCAATTCACTTTACAGTGTGTTCTGTGAAGCGCTTTGGGACGTCCTCCCGACGTGAAAAGCGCTATATCAAATGCAAGGATTATTATTTAGATGGCAGAGTATTTGGCAGAGTTATTGAGGGATAAGAGAAATGGAGTAGTTTAGAATCATTTGTTATTTTTTGGATTAGCCATATATATAATATATATATACATGTATATATATTTTGATGGACTTTTCCAGTCATTACTTGCACATGATTATGATTCGATGTGTAACATCATCTCTTGATGGAGACCTTTAACTATCATGTTGTCTCTGTGCTTCAGTGGATGTTTACAATTGAGGTAAAGAGCCTTGAGGATACCATGTGAAGTGGAGCTGGATGAGGCGAGATTTTTCCTGTAACACAGTCCCATGGTTATACCAAAATACGGTACATCAAAGCGTGTATGTTGAGGGGGAAAGAGGATGCTATTAGCAAAGCACTAATAAACAAGCCATGTTTCATTCAAGGTCATGGCATATTAGAGCGAGTAATGGTAAGAGGCTACCTCCAGAGATCATTATAAAAGTATAATGCTAATGGCAGAGCCATTATATTAACATTGAAATCCACTTTTACTGAAAGCAATGAAGAGCAAAGCAAAGCACCAACGGTCGTTCTGTCTGTTGTCGGAGCCAGATCGCTGTCTGGGAACAGTTGGCAGTCGGCTGCTGCTCTAGTGATTGAGTGAGGTTATTAACCACCAGTAAGGCCAACGTTGCTTCATAATAACCCTCACCAACAGTGAGAACCTTTGAGAATTTACAATGTGCGTCTACGATGACGTACACTGTACTGCTGAATCTTGCTCGACTCATTTGGATTGTAGGTTGATGGTTCCTTACATCAGAACAAACTTTATGCCAATATTTTCAGGGAGGAAGACAGCATTGATGTGTCTCAGTGCTCATCCAGTCTCCCACACGTCTCTGCCACGGTGTCTGCATAGAAGCCACCGGATCTCCTGCTTGCCCTCCCACACCCCCCGCCCACCCCCCCGGCCTTCAATAAATTCTTCTTCAAGTATCATAATTTTTTTTTAAAATAATTGATGGACTCTTGCCTCCGTGTGAAGATTTTTCTTTCTAACCTCTTTAATTCTTTTTGTGATTTTCTTCAGTTTGTACCCTCTCATCACTGATTCATTAACCAGTGGAGATAATTATTGCTATTTATCCTAAAGTATGTAATGGGCATCTCCTTAAATCTGTTGGCTGGCTTACTTTAGGTGATGTGTGGACATTTATTAAATTCCATTTGGGGCCTGTAAAGTAATTCATTTTATGAAGAGTACATCATTATGAGAATAGAGCACTTCACTGCAGTCTCACCCAGATTGAGGTAGGTAGATATATATATATCATGGGTATAGTGTATTAACTAGGTTCATTAGTGTAAAACACATTTCAGTGATGAGAATACATTTCAAGGCAAGTTGTTGTCATGTTGTGGCTTTGGTCTGCACACATACAGAGTACACAGCAATTGGATCAAATCTGTCAAAATTGTCCATTCCAAACCAATTTACAATTGCACTTCATAGAATCATAGAATTATACAGCACAGAAGGAGGCCATTCGGCCCATCATGTCCCTGCCAGCTCTTTGAAAAGAGCTTTTCCAATTCAATCCCACTCCCTCGCTCTCTCCCCATAGCCCTGCAAACTTGTCTTCCCCAACTTATCCTAAATGTCACTTTTGCTTGACATTTATGCACTCTCAACGTTCTCATACATTCCATTTCAGAAACCCATCTTCTAACTTCTAACCCTAAATGTGCAGCTCTCAGGGGTTAGAGGCTTGTGACCGGTGTGAACACTGGCATGAGCTGGTTGGGCAAAAGGCCGGTTTCCATGCTGCAGGATTTGATGTAATTCTGTGCATGTCAATACACTCGCAACCTCAGTGATCGTAATTCAGATCCATAATAAAGCTTTTGAATCACCACATAGTTGTTGCTTCTGATAGCTAATGTGTGTAAAGATGGAAATTAAATTTCAAACAAGTTTAAGCTTTGTTTTCAGCTGGTTTGGAGTTGGTTTTGATTGGCACCAGTTAAAGCAACTGATTCTGATCGACTGGTTTTGAGTTTAACTAATTAAACTAATTAAACAGGAAGCTGGTTCAGAGCCAGCTCAAAACACAGCACAGTTTCAACTCGTCTCCACTGGTGGGGGCTGAATGTTTTTTCAGTTGGGCTACCCTGCAATACAAAGGCACACTGTGTTAGAAAAATCCACCACTTACACTCGCTGTTAAATTGTCCTGTGGTCGTGACCTGCTCTATGATAAGACATTGGGGAAAACTGAGTTTGGCCTTCTAACGTGTTGGAAACAGTTGAGGAATTTTGTGTAATGAAGGGTAAGTTACTTTGGAAATCTGCCTGCTTATAACACGATCCACATTCCCTATTAAGGTACATGGAAAAAATACAAAACAGCTGTGGGCTTCGGTGCTTATTTGTTAACTGAGCTGGGAAAGGCTCTATTAAAAACATGTTTTTTGGCGCAATCTATATTTTATTTCCAGTCGCCGTGACTTGCCCAAGTATTGTCTACCTCCTTCCTCCCCCTGAAGACAAAGCGGGAGGTGATTTGGAGAGCAGCCAAACCAATTTTTGGAAGAAGTCTTGGTAGTGTGTTGTAGGATCCTCAACTGTAGAGGGCAGCACAGGCCAGCCTGACTTCTCCCCACCCAGCTGCCACACATACAACCAGGAAATAATAATAATAATAATACGCTGGAGAGTGACCGGGAGCAGGAACCCTGGTTGGTTTTCTCCTCTCTAAACCAGGGCCAATTTAGCCTCACTGAGATAATTAAACTCAACACAGTGGGATTCGAACCAGCAACTCTTGGTCCATAAACTGCAGCTCGATCCATTGCACCATTCAACAAAGGAATCTTATTCCACCTCTGGGTTTTTTGAGACTTGTTCTGTGCCAATGTTACTGTTGGCAATAACACTAAACACAATTTTTCATAAAAACAGTAATCCTTGCATCTGATCTAGCACCTTATCACATTGAAGTGAAGTGCTTCAGAGTTTTTCTACATAGTTGTACCAATGTGGCAGCCAATTTGCGTACAGCAATGTCACACAGAGAACCATGAAGTGAATAACTGATTTTATCTGGCAGATTGTTGACCAGGAGAAATTCTCTTTTTGAATATCTTCTTTCTCGCTAGCTGGACGCTGGGTGATGGACAGGAAAGGAAACTGGAGCCATTCCCTCGGCACGCAACCGTCTAAAATGAAATTAATGGAAATAAACTTGTCAAACTACTAATTCTGGGCTGTGTATTTAACCCAAGAGCAACCGCTTTTTCTCTGATTAGGATTTGTAATTATTGGGGGAAATCTATGGATTATTGGAGACTTTGTAAAGTCGCAAGCAATGCTGTGAATTTATTTTTGTTCATCTTATTCGTGAGGGAATTTGATCTATTGTAATGTTTTGCTGTGGTACAATATTACATAGAATCATTTTCTCCCAAAAAGTAACCTTATTAAAATAAAAAAAAGGAAATGTGTTTATCAAGGGGAAGGAAACACGTGAGTTATCGTATGGTATGTAGGACATGTTCCAGATTTTACAGAGATTAAGTTTTCCCAACTAAGTTAACATATGGCTTCAATGCAGTGCGTGTCCTCAGGCCGGTTCAATAATACACTCCCAATGTCAGAAGGGAATCTTCTCAACAAGTCTTCCCTTTCTGCCCGTGCTCTCTGTGAGAGAGTTGAAAGAAAGTGGATGGTAGTGTGAGCTCACATCCTCTTGTGGTGGTTGTGAGGTTAGCAAACTCCAGCCATTTGGGAGCCTTTAAACCATCTTTGACCGGAGCCAGGAATAGCATCACGTGTTGGGCTTACAGATGAAAGGGCACTGACATTAAAATTATTCTATTTTTATATCCGAAGGGATAGGATGTGATTGTAAATACAGCAGAGCCCCAAACCGTGCATTTTCCACGACCAATTTGGAAGCGGTCTGGTCCCACCTCACTACCTTTCTTTCTCAATGAACTGATACTCCAGCTCCACTTCCTATATATTTATTGAGGTTTATCTGGGGCGGAGAGTCCAAAGCTCGGTTTTCAGGAACTGGTCCGAATGGAAATGTTTCCTGTGAAAAGCCAGATCAATCTTTCGGAGATTTGTCAGAGGAGTTTTTAAGGTTATTTAATTTTTGATTGACATGTGCCTGGAGGCGGTGTGACCTCTCCTGATCATGCTGTCTCTTCCAATTTCCACATCAGTACAGCATAACACGTGTTGAAGAAAGTGGGTAATGGGGACGGAGCTTGGCAGTTGTGGAGGTTGTTTGGAGTAGCCTCCAGCACATCGACTGGGAAGGTTGGGGATGTTTTGGCTTTGCAAACATTCCAACTGCAGAAACGTAAAGCCTTCTGTACGGTGGGAAGCTGTAAGGCCTGAATATTAGAAATAAATAGCAGTAAGTCACTCCCTTAGAGTTTCAGACTCGCAGACTGGTTAATACAAGCTGACTTGTGAGGTAAAACAAAAGCAGAATATTTCTACATATAATGATGCACAAATATTGAAATGCACAATAGAAAATGCCAGAGCAAGGAGAGCTAACAACAGTGTAGTCTGACAGCCTTTCTTTATTAAACCTGAGTCTCGATAGAAACATTTAAGCCACTGATATGGCCAGTGTAATTCATGGGCTACAGATCAATGCTGGGTAAGTGCACGTTCCAGCCTTGTTCAGAGGCTGCTGTTGAGTCTTTTAGAAAATCAGTGTATGAGACCTGTAACGTTAAAGCCTCAGTATTAGGGTAAGATTAACCCTTCCTTGTTTTTAACATTGTGCCTTGAACAACTACAACAACAACAAATTATATTTGTACAGTGCCTTTCACATCAGGAGAATGTCCCAAGGCGCTGGACAGTCAGGGCTTTAGACCAGAGCTGGGGGTTGGGATAAGGAGGGGTGGAGGGCAGGGAGGTTGGGGGTAAGAGGGTGATCAAAGTCGTGGTCGAAAAAAGGCAATCGCTTGCTATATCAAGGCAGAAGTGAGTAGTGCCGGTGTTGGGGACCCACAGATACAGGAATCTGTGATGGGAGCATGAGGAACAAACATTACAACAGCTCTTTAGCCATTCGTTCACCATTATATTCAGGATTCACAATAAACATGTTTCTCTGCTCTTCAGGCTTGCAGACACCCCTTTGACTTTTATAGGATCTTTCTAGAACCATAGAAAATGCTAAAATGGTTAGAGAAAACAAACCCATAGAAATCCTTTCCCGAGCTCCACGCCAGCCAGACACCAAGGCAGTTGAGGGTTGTGAAGAGCATCAGAAATATGTTTTTAAGCACAGGGTGGAGCTGACCTGAGGAATAGGTTGCAAGGAAGGGTAATATAGGCAGAATGTGCATAATATATCTCTATCCCTCTGGTGTTTCTAAGGGAGAGAAGGCTCTGGACCAATGCTACGTTTGAGGAATGGTATCCAGTTGTTATAATTGTAACCTGCCACTCTCGTGTTTGTCTGTTCTGATCTCTGACTGTTCAGTATCTTGGCATGTCCTCCCGACGTGAAAGGCGCTTTACAAATGTAATTTTGTTGTTGTTGTATAAGGTTTGTTGCTGAGAAAGTAAGTGCAAAGTTCCATGCCCCAAATCTCATGCCTTGAATGGAGGATGTGTGGCCTGCCTTGGCCTTGGCTGGGGTGCTGATGCCTGGGCAATCTTGGGATGAGGTCTCCCCAGTATTGCACCTCACTGTGTCTGAGGTATCCACGCCAACACACAAACATTTAACAGATAACGTGTGGCTATTCTGTTAAATGATTTGACAGTAACGGTGTCAGTTGGGCCAAAGGCAATTACACTGGTTCTGGTCATCACTTTGACATCTCTCAGGAAACCATCAGAGATTACTGTGGCTCTGTCCTCCACAGCCATAATTGCACAGAGACTGCGTGACAACAGCCGACTGCAGAAGTCACTCCCATTCCACCCCCTATCGATTTTTCATTTCAGATCTTTGATGAAAAGATTCCCACAATTCTGTTACTGCAGAAACCCCACCGTCTTCCCTGAGTAGTCTGACGCCAGTAAATCAGATCTCACAGCAGCCTGTCTAATCCTGCATCGCTCTCACCCTGTGACATCTCACCATCTCTATCACTGGCTGTCGCTGCTATCTGTGTTTAGACCCTTATTTATCAGAATAATTTGAAGCTTTGCAGCTTTATGTACTACAAAGTTTTTCATTTTAATTCCGGGAATGTTTATAATAAGAAGATTCTGTCCATTTAACATAAGATTTCTCGAAGCATTTTCCGGAATTTCCTGTGATGTGTAGTGACTGTATTTTGTACGTGTACCCAGCAGCCCATTTCACACAAACAACCATGCAATAATTGTTTTCCGGGGGATTGTTGGTCAGGACACCAGGAAAAACTCTGTAACTCCCTTTTTAGGAGTAGATGCCACGAGATTTTTAACTTCCAGCTTCACAGGCAGATGGGGCCTTGGTGTAACTTGGATAAAAATGATTGGATAAACCCAGGCTTTGTAGCAATGAAAAGCGTAGTCTCCGCAGGGCTGCTGTCGAGGTGCATAAGAAATCTGAATAAGGTTGTCTGATCTGCCAGAACGGCAGGACCAGGGCACGGGTTTAGGGTAAATAACAATAATCCTCCCATTTGATGTAGAGCTTTTCACGTCTTCGAGATGTCTCAAAGCGTTTCACAGAATATACTGTAAAGTGAATTGACTGTATATTTATTTGTGGGCAAAATGCAGCGCAGCCACTTGCGCACAGCAGTGTCCCACAAACAGTTGTGGATTGAGCGACCAAATTATTGTTTTTAAGGATTATTACCCCCGGAAAAGCGATCCACTAATTGACTAACAAACGGCTTCCTACTTACTGCCAGGTAAACAGAGGCATGTGGAGTAAGGAAACTTGCCCAACATTTTGCCCTGCTGGGAATCGAACCCAGGTCCTCTCGCTTGCGAGGCGAGCGCTCTAACCGCTGAGCTACAGGACTGCACAACAGAAATGCCATGAAAGATTTCTTTCATGAGGGATTGTGTTCCCAGGAGTCATTGGGACCCCGAGGACGGGCTGGTTTAGGTGCCTGTCCTCAGGGCCCCAGTGACTGGGGTTCTGGGGAGACTGAGGCGTGAGGCTAGTGAAAAGGTTTCAGGTGAGCGGCCAAAGTGATTAACATGCTCAGCTTCAGGTTTCCCAATGCCACTGGTGCACGGAGTAGAGAGAAGGAGAATTGCAGTTCTATTGCATTGCTTGCAGGCTCTCTCCTCCCAGTCACACTAAGTAATGAGTAATAAAGCTACAATCAAAACAGAGCCACCATTTCTCTAATTGCAATTAACTGCGCTGTCTGCCCTCAGACCCTTTCCCAGGAAACTTTATCTTCATATTCTCCGCTCGACCCAGCTCTGCTGCATTGTGCTGCTGCTGGTTAAGGTTTAGTAGGAGGAGATAATCTATCACAGAGCACTCTGAGGTTGAGAGGGCTGTTCGTCTTTGTAGCTATATTCAGGACCTCTGGAACGGTGCAGAATTCGATTTTACACACGGCACCAGACACAGGGTGTTGAGGGACCCATCATTTTCTGGAAATTTCTGTTGTGAAGTATTCCTGGTCGAGACATGTCTTTGCTTTATGTAGAAGTGAAACTTGTATCAAACCCCCCCAAAACGACTTTTATTTCCACAGTCAAGGCAGCGGATCCCTGGCAACTCCAGCAAACTAGCTTTGGCTAAATGCATATAAAGCTGCCTTCCTCACCAACTCTACATTTGGTGAAGTGCCATCAGTGGCAAGATCAGAGCCAGTGCCATCTCCTGACGGGATGAAGAAGAAAGAGCCGATGACCTCATGGGTGGGCCTTCCTTCCTGTGCACACGAGATGGGGTGGTGGGGGGAGCCTGGGAGTGAGTGTGTTTGAGGGGTGGCGGGGAGCTGGGAGTGGAGAGAGTGTGTTGGGTGGGGTGGGGGGTGTTGAAGGATTGTAAGGTGCTGGTGAACAGATTTCTGCTGATGTGTGTGTGACTCAACTGTCAGAAGTGTCCCCTGACACCCCCGGTTCAATGTCAAGTCACTGAAATTGTAAGTGGATGAAGCTGTTGCCAAGCCCCGGCTTCGGGTATCACTTCTCTGTTACTGGGTTACAAACAGCCCCTGTACCTGATAGCTCAGGATAAGGAGCTGTCTGCTGCCACTCTGCTTGGAAACCAGGCTACAGTTTAACCAGGTTTGTAGAGTTGTGGCCACATGATACACGTTCTTTGGCTTTAGTTAACTAGCCTTAAGGGTTTGCTTCCGTCACAAGATATCCCTCGTGTGATCATTCTCAGCTTCCATAGTCTCTGCTTGTCACTTCTGTTGTGTTCATGTTGTACACTATGTGGCCCCTAACTTGGGGGTTGAATCAACAAAGCCTTGCATTTACACAGTGCCCTTCACGTGGGGCAGTGTCCCAGAGCACTTCACAGTGACAGAGTCTGACCCCGAGCCAGGGGGAGAGGGAGGGGAAAGGTGACCATAAGCACGATCAAAAAGAAAGGTCTTTGAAGGTGGGGAGGGAGGGGGCAAGACGGAGGGGTTTGAGGGAGAGAGTTCCAGAGTTTCGGGGCATAGTGGTGGAAGGCATGGCCACCGATGGTAAAATGGAGGGCACGAGGGACAAATAGGAGACCGGAGCCAGCCGAGCAGAGACAGTGGGTGGGGGGTAAGCAAATCGGAGTAGGTAGGTAAGTGCGAGGGAATGAAGTGATTTGAAAACAAGTGAGAGAATCCGTTCGCTGATTGGGAGCCAGTGGAGCCTGACAAGGACTGGTGTGAATCTTTGTGTCGCAATATTTTATCCATTGTTACAAGTCGCATTAATTTACAAGATTAGATTTCTCACGTGGCAAAATCACTGTAGTCTTTTACACAGTCTTTATAAGTCATTTCAGTGGATTCATTTCTCAGTTTCCTTTTTATCAAATCAACAATATTATTTGAAGAACAGATGAAATTACACAGCTTCATGTTTAGTTTGGAGCAATTTTCATAAAGTACCATACAGCCCAAGGATTTACAGAATATTATCACAGATTCATTTCCCTTTGGTCACAGGAGAATTTACAGATGGCTGCAAAGATTCCGATTCTAACTAAAAACAGCGAACAGTAATAGACAATAATAATCAGTGCATATTATATTCGCATTTAATAATAATCCTTCCTTTTGATACAACGTCTTTCACATCAGGACCCCGCAAAACACTTACTGTAAAGTGTAGTGACTGTGTTTTGTGGGTGGGCACAGCAGCCAATTTGTGCACAGCAATGTCAAAGCCGTGAAGTGAATGAGTTTGATGTGGGGAGGCGTTGGCCGGGTCACCAGGAGAATCCCTTCTTTTCTCTGTACTCTCACAGATAGCTATTGAACCAAAGTATTCTAATCATCCTTGTATGAAACTTTTTTTTCCTTCTTGTGATGATCTTTAGTTTTTGCCCTTTTAATTGTGTTTACGGTTATCTCTCCCCTCTCTGTCCCCCTGGCTCGGTGTCAGACCCCACCACTGTCGAGCACTTTAGGACGCTACCCTGTGTGAGCGATGTTATATAATAAGCTGTAGTTGTTGTAATCCAAGAAAATAGTCCCTCTGGTTAACAACCCCTCATGCCCATTCCCTGGGCTGTTTGTACAGTACTGGCCCATCTTATTGTTCATTGAGTCTATTTCCAAATGACACATCCCACATGTCCTCGACATTGATGATGTGTGAGCTGCCCCCATGGCGTCTCCTGATTGCTTGTACACGGGAAACTCAATTACCAGAGTTGCCGTTGTTGCTGCCAGACTGGGAGATTGTTGGCTGATAATGAAACCAGGGCCAGAGCGAGTGCTCAGTGCCACAGGCTGGTCGTAATAAGATACAGTATCAGCGTTGTCCTTGTTTTATATTACCATTAATGGGGGGGGAGAAGCGAAGCATTTTATATCAAGGCAACAGCCAATTTTCAAGGGACTTGATTGTTTTATTTGATTAGAGGCTTGTTCTGGTTAGAACGTTTCCAGACTGACTACAGGAATGTTAGCCTAAACTCCACGCTGCTGCATATTAACATGGAGTATCGTCATCTCCGAGGAGCAGAGGAAGCGTGTGTCATTGATGTCATCTCACTGAGATTGGCAGGGAGGGACAGGAGTGGTTGAGAATAGCCTATATTACAGGCACCGATCGCACTCACACTGCTCACCCACTCCTTACCCACTGCTCAGTGCCACATTGCCCCTGCCCTTTAGCAAACAGCAGCCCATTTCCAAGCACCGTCTCCAAATGCAGCTTTTGTCTTTTTTTACCACAGTCAAGTTCGTGGGACATTTTAGATTTAAAAGCAATTTTAAGTGTGAAACTCGGTGGATGTCTCCACAGAACTGATCGTACGGGCAACGCTGGCAACTCACCAACGTTTGTGCAGTGTGATTGTTTCCCTCTTGGTGCTGAGGTCAGGAGGGGGGGTGGTGGGGGTCCTGATGATGATCGCTGCTGCCTGATGGTCAGCAAGTGGCATCAATTCCAAGTGAAAGCTGACTGGAATGTTTTCTGTTTGCTCACGTCGTGACCGAGCTCCCAAACTGTGGCTGCTTATCCCAGAGCCAGCTGTCACTCCCCATTGCAGCCATCCAAGCCGGTATCTCTCCATTCCCCACTGGGCCGAGTGCTCGCAGCAAACAAAGAACTTCACACAAAGTCAAAGGGGTTAAAAACATGCGAAATAAATGTTACCCCAAAACATTCACACTTTAATTAAGGAAGGGTTTATGGAGAGTGCAGGGTGATGGCGAGATCAGCTCTGTGTGTGTGTTGCATGTGCCCGTGAGCATCTGAAGTAGCCGGGGGGGTGAGTGGGGGAGAGAAATGTGACACAGTCCAATGTATGTGTGTGAGTGGGGTGGGGGGGAGGAAACTGTAGTCGTGGAAGCGAGCAGCAGCTTGGTGGGATTTGTGGAGATTAACCTATCAGTGGCCTTTTACTGAGAGGATCAGCCTGGTCAGGAAGAGGGGAATTAGCCGGGGAAAAGGAGCATCTGTTTCAGTTTCGTGCGATTAGTTTATATCCTGCGACTTGGGATCAGGGCTGTGTTCGAGGACATGCACTGGATTTCAGAGTGAGAGAGAAAGAGAGAGTGTGTGTGAGTGTGTGTGTGTGTGATCTGAGCTGCTGGGTCTAAAATGTCACCTCGTTTATCTTACAAAACAATCTCTTTTAAATACATTGAGTGCACAAAGTGCCAACTTATTCAAAATCACCGGAACATTTTCTGAGGAGAACATCTGCATGAGATTCTCATCACATCTGCTCTCTGCCATACGTCTCTGCAAAAGCAATTTACTTTGGAACATGTAAGAGCACAAGGTGACGTGCGACAAGAAAAGGGCTATTTCTTTCACAGCCACACCATACCTACCCTCTGTGGACCACATTTCATCCACTCGATCTCCTGGGAAGAGCCTGTAATCCAGGCCTGAGAATGATATTATTGGAAGCCTCCATTATCAGGTTTCCAATAGCCATTGTAATCTCTCTATGTGAAATACGCTTTGGAAAGTGGAGTAAAACCAATATAGAGTTGGTAAAAGAAACAGAGGGGGGGGTGAGGAGAATTTTTTTTCACACAGCGAGTTGTTGGGATCTGGAATGCATTGCCTGAAAGGCTGGTGGAAGCCAATTCGACAACAACTTTTAAGAGAAGTAGATAATTATTTGGAGAGAACACGTTTGCAGGGCTATGGGGAGAGAGTGGGGGAGTGGGATTGATTTGGTTAGCTCTTTTCAAAGAGCTGGCACAGACACGATGGGCCAAATGGCCTATGATTCTATGAACACTAACCTCATATTCCTGATGGTAGAAAGAGGGAATTTTTCTGCCCAATGCTGTTCAGCCTTTCTGTCTCTGCTGTTCCTACCTTTTAAATGAATCCCACTTTCCATCTCTCTCTCTCATTAAACATTTTTAATGCTCAGTCC